AATAAACATTTAGAAATATTTACAGGAATTTCTAACTGCCACAATTTTATTGCATTTTACTATAATGTTTCGATCAGCAATGGCTTGAAAACAGAAAACAAAACAAACCAGAAAATGGTCCTTTTTACAGGTAGCTTAAGAAGCATTGTTAAGACTGTAATATATTTTGTTCAAAGATATTATAAAAGGGCTACAAAAGCTGTAGAAAGAATGTCAGTTTAGTATAACTGGTGCACAAATGTTCTTGGTAGCAACCACAAACAGTAATGCCAAAAAGCTATCAAAGGAAAAGTTAAGCAAATAATGATTACAGAAAATTTTAGAAGCCTTATTTTAATCAAATTCTCAATAAATCTGTTTTGATTCAAACAACCCCTCACTGTTATACCATTCTCGTTCCTGGACCTGAATCTTTCCTTGCACGGAAACGTGATGGCTCCCCACGTTGCCTCCCCAAATCCTACAAGCAATAACCTGAACAACTCTAGGAAATCCTGAGAGACTATGTAGGTCCCTATTCATCATGCTACTTCTGATCTCTTACCAACAATATAAAACGCATACTGTATCAAAGTGCTATCTCAAGTACTGGTTTTATTTCTCTGATCAAACTGTAAATTCTGTAAGGACACGGGTCATGCCATTTACTGCTTCTGCATAGTATAGTGGTCATGCTTTTTTCAAATTAATTCTGATTCCTTAGCATGGGAATAAAAGAAAAATTGTCTCTAGGCCTGCTTCATGTAGATAAGCAAACAAAGTCCACTGAAGTTCTAAAAATAAATAAGTAAACCTAAGTTAAGGTTCACTGAAAAGTGATGTGCTTATAGGATTTATAAAAGTAGCAAATTACATACTCTATTCTAGTAGTTTAAAAAGAGGGTAAATGATACATTCTTGGGTAGGAAAGTTTAACTGGTAGAGTATTTTACCTATAAGTACTAATATTAATTTTATTTAATACTTTATAATCAACTGAAGGGATAATACTAAATTCCTGCATATACTGAAAATGTTATGTCAAGGGAATGAAGGAAGACTTTTTAACAAACTGGTTGAAAAGTAGCCAGTTAGCTGAAATATGACCCACAGAAAAATATATCTAGATAAAATTTATCTAAAAAATTTTTATTATTGAGCTGTGGTTCTTTAGATATTAAGGTTAGAAATGTTTAATCCTAGTCTGTAGCTTGCTCTTTATCACCATAATGATGTCTTTTGCATGTATGTGGTAAAAAATACGTAACATAAAATTTACCTTTTAAAAATAAGTTTCAGCCCTGACTGGTGTGGCTCAGTGGATTCAGTGTTAGCCTGTGAACCAAAGGGTCACTGGTTCGATTCCCAGTAAGGGCACCCAGTGGATGCCTGGTCTGCAGGCCAGGTACCCAACAAGGGGCACATGAGAGGCAGGCAGACACTGATGTTTCTCTCCCTCTCTTTCTCCCTCCCTTCCCCTCTCTAAAATAAATAAAATCTTAAAACAAAACTTTTTTAATCCTCACCCAAGGATATGTTATTGATTTTTTAGAGACAGAAGAAGATTGATCAGTTGCTTCCTGCACACACCCCAATCAAGTACCAAACCCACAACCTAGGTATATTGTGGAGATTAAATCCACAACCTTTCTGTGTATGGGATGACCCTCCAACCAACTGATCTACCTGGCCAGAGCCCTTTTTAAGCGTACAGTATGGTGGCATTAAGATAGATTCACATTTTTTTTTTAATTGACTAGAGAGACAGAGAGAGAGAGAAAAGGAGAGAAGAGGTGGGGGCACCGGGGGAGAGAGAGAAACATCAGTTTGTTATTCCACTTGCTGACGCATTTATTGGTTGATTCTTATATGTTCCCTGACTGGGAATCAAACTTGCAACCTGGGCATATCAGGACCATCCTCTCACCAACTGAGCTATCCGGCCATGGACAGATCAGTCCAGTGCATCCACACTGTTGTGCAACCATCACCACCATCCACCTTCCCAACTCAACCAGCACCCACTGAATAGTAACTCCCACATTCTCCCTCCTCCATAGGATCAATTTGTCCTGTGACAGGCAAAACTTTAAATTTTGATGAAAAACAATTTACCACTATTTTTTTGTTCTGATGTCCTCTTTCAGAAATCTTTGCTTGCTCTAAGATTGCAACAATATTTTCCTGTTTTCTACCAAAAGCTGTAATTTTAACTTTTGCACTTATACATATTGTCCAAATTGAATTAGTTTTTATATGTGAAATATGCCTCAAGGTTCATTTTTTTCCCTCCATGCAGATACCTAGTTAATTTCCAGAATCATTTCTTGAAATGGACTACATAAATGTAAGTCTATTCCTGCACTCTATTCTGTTCCATTGATTTATTTATTTCAATACCTTACCATCTTGGTAACTAAGTCTTGAAATCAGGTAATATACTCCAAAATTTTTTTCAAAATTATTTTGGCTATTCTGGATCCTCTGAATTTTCATACACACTTTAGAATCAGCTTATCAACTTCTGTTACAAAGTCACTGTAGTTTAGATTAGGACTATAATCCAGAAGAATGGTCATATAAACATTACTGAGTCTTCCAAACCACGAGCATGATTTCTCTCTCCATTTAAGTCTTCTTTAATTTCTCTTAGCAATGTTTCTATATAAAGTTTTCAGTGTAGAGGCCTTTCACATCTTTCATTAAACTAATCTCTTAAGTACTCTGATTTGATGCTATCACAAATAGTATTGTTTCTTAAATTTTTATTTTCTAGTTGCTAGTACATAAAACAGTAATTTTTTTATATGCTGCTAGCTCTGTAACATTTTTGGTTGATTCTTTGTTTTTTCCCCAAATATTTTATTTATTTTAGACAAAGGGGAAGGGAGGGAGATAAAGAGGGAGAGAAACACCAATGTGTGGTTGCCTCTCATGCGCCCCCTACTGGGGACCTGGCCTGCAACCTAGGCATCCACTGGGTACCCTGACTGGGAATCGAACCCTTTGGTTCACAGAATGGCACTCGACCCAGTGAGCAACACCAGCCAGGAATAACTCCTTACGTCTTTTAATGTAAAAGATATTGTTAACTGCAAATAAAGACAGTTTGACTTCTTCCTTTCTAAGATTGGTTTTCTGGCCTCACGGCACAACTAGGATCTCTAGCACAATAGATCAGGAACAACCTTGCCCATTCCTGATCTTATGAGAAAGTGTCAGTATTTCACTATTAAGTACAATATTAGCCATATATTTTAGATTGAGTAATACGTTTCATTCCTAATTTGATAATTTTTACTGTGAATTAATGCTGAAATGTTTTTTCTACATGTATTTTAAAATAAACATACAGACTTTCTTATTCTGCTAATATATGAGTTAGACTGATTGGTTTTTAAATGTTAAGTTAACCTTGCAACTCCTGAGATAATCTTCTCTAAGACAGATCGGTAGACACAAAGCATAATATAAATGCCAGAAAACTTGGTAACAGAAGAACAGAAGAGTCACTAACACTTCACCACCAGACTTCACCTTTGGTTCCACCTCACGCTCTCTGGGCACTTACACGTCCATGTGATGACCAGCGCTCTGCAGTCCATCGCCCATTTCTTTTTCTATGGCACTCCACTCACTAGCAAGAAAAAGATAAAACCAAAAACATCCTGAATTAGATGTGTATTATTAGTAAATACAATCTTTTACAAGGCTTTTTTTCTAACTAGCTTTTAAACAATGTATAGTATCTACATTTGGATTTATTTTCTGTGACTCAAAAAAGCTGCTTTCCCCTTAAGTTTAACAACTAAATGCAAGTGAAGGCTATAAAATGTTAGTTCAAAGGTTGACAACCTGCTGCTGACAAGTGCAAAGTAAGTATCATACAAAACAGCTTCTACGTACAGATGACTTTCTCAGTGAGAGTGCCTATTTAAATCAGTCGTGGAGCTTATACAAATTATACTCTTAATCTACTTAGACAGAATCTCTGGGGTAGAGCTAGTCATACATTTTTAAACACTCCATAGATGATTCTGATGAACATACCTGATTACATGACACTATATAATGCTAACACAAAAAGATGATTGTACAAAAACATTAGGTGCATAGAAAGATTTCAATTATTTTCAGAAAGCTTACTAAAAATCACAAATTATTTTGTTGAAATGCTCCATGTAAACATTCTTTTTACAGAAGTTATATATGTATATTATAGCAAACTGGGAGTATCAATGTATGTGGTACAATGCTTTACAGCTGTATTTTATTTACCGTATTTTGCTGTGTATACTGTGCACCCATGTTTCAGACCGAAACTTTCAGGAAAAAAAAATCTTTTGTTTTAACTTTTGTAGCTCAATTATTTATTTATTTATATTTAGGAACAAAACCAATGATTGTATTCCAGTGTATTATTCTGCATACAGATATCATTATTGCTTTCTAGAGTTATACTTTTAACACTTAAACATAAATAAAAGAATTAAAAACATTTATATTGATATGGAATCAGCAGTACCCATGTACAATGAGCATCTTTATTTTTCCCTCAAAATTTTGGGCAAAAAACTGCACATTATACATGGCAAAATGTGTTATTATTTTTCTTAATCCTCACCCGAGGAAATAGTTTTCATTGCTTTTTAGAGAGAAAGAAGGGGGGCAGGGAGAGAGAGAGAGACATCTACTAGAGACAGTTGATTGGCTGCCTTCTCATATGCGTCCCAACTGGGGATTGAACCTACAACCTTCTGGTGTACAGGACAGGACAACAACCAACTGAGCCACACCAGCCAGGGTAGTTTAACAATTTTAAATTAACTTTTTTATGACTTAAGTGAAGTTGTTTTAATCCACTTGTTTACGACAAAGACAAAAAAAACAGTTGTTTTGCTATACAAATGAAGTAAGTTATTTCAGGATGTATCATCTCACTTAATGCCTCTGATAAGTATCTCAGCAACCAAGCTGCTGAGGGGCCCTACTGGGGACTCATCAATAAAAATGTGTGGAGAGCATGGTAATGGCTTTCTGGTAGGCCTTTCTCCGTCAGCCTGTCATAGTGTTCCCACACCAGAGTAAACTGCAGCCTCGAACCACTGCTCTGCCTCTTTACCACAGCACTGTGAACAATGATGGGGGTTGTACAATTTGAAAAAGAAGAGGAAAGAGGGGGTAAGAATAAAAAAAGAATGTGTGGAGAAGCAACTATGGCAAGGGGACATTTAGACCATAAATACTGAGTTTGTGGGGACTATTTGAGAGTTCAGTATGGGTAAAGTGACTCTTCACCAACCAAAAATCCCCAAAGTCCCTTGGGGCACTAGCTCCTGCTATGGGCAGTGGCTCAGTGGCCCATAAAGGAAGTCAACCTGCCTATCAACACCAGCTTCTTTGTTCCTAGCAACATGCTCTAGCAACAGAGGAATTTCACTTTTGCACTGGCAGCCTGGAATCAGCTGTTGGTTGGTCACCGACTCTGCCTTGTATAAAAAGGTACACCTCATACTAAATTTGGACTTTATTCCTTCATTGCCCCTTACCCACAAAAATACTTTGATTAATCTGTCATTTGTTTAAAGTATGTTATTTCTTTATTTGACTTATTAAGAGATACTCTTTATTGGCTATTATCCTTTATGCCACTGGCGTGTAAAATTATTATAATTCCCACAGCTAAGCTGTGCTAAATAAATTGTTGCCAGCCCTGGCTGAGTAGCTCTGTTGGTTAGAATGTTGTCCCAGTACACCAAGGTTGTGAGTTTGATCCCTCGTCAGGGCACATACAAGAATCAACCAATGAAAGCATAATTAAGTTGAACAACAAACTGATATTTTTCTCTTTCTGCCCCTCTCCCTAAAATCAATAAATAAAAGTTTTAACCACTTAAACAAAAATGGTTGCCAAAAACAAAGTTTCTAAGTATAACTTTTGCTGCCTCCCCAAACAAAACAATCAATCTATAATACCAAATACCAAGAGATGACATAAGTTGATATATTTCCTCCTAGTCTTTTCATTTACTCATTTTACTGTGTCTGAGATCACACAATATATACAACTTCATATCATGCTTTTTCTCTTTAACAGTATTCACCCATAGTATTAAAATAATTTGTTCTAAGCATTGTTACAAATGGCAACTTATAATTTTTTAAAACCATTTTCCTGGATGTTCATGTTGTTTCCAATTTTTTTGCTATGTAAAGGCTGTCTGATGAACATCATCAATTGTACCACAGCTTAAAAGAAAAAAAAAAAAAAACCTTAAAACACTACTTTATATACTACTCTCAAAATAATCAAATTATATGCTTATTGTAATAGAAGAAAAAAAGTCAAGTGTTTAATATTGCCAAAGAAGAAAAACAAACATGTAAATCATCTATGTAACCAGTACAGTTACAATTAAACAAAATAGGCAGGACTTCTGATAATTTTCTTTCCTTTTATGTTCAACTATTCTCAAAAAGCAAAAGCAACGGTTAAACTTATTTTAGCTCTTTGCTGTTTCTGAAATAGATTTTTAACATCTCTAGCTATAAGCTCAGCTCTAAAGCTGCATTTCTAATGGTTATAAGACAATTCTGCTCTTATATAACTCTGTCACTTCAAATTCAACATATTCAAAACCTAGTTCTTTATGTGAAAAAGAAAATCTAGGAGTTTTGGTGGATTACAGGTGTAGTAGGCAAACAGACATAAGCAGAGCAAGGTTGATGGGCCAGGTACACAAAGTCACTGAGGTTGAAGGTCCAAGATGCCTAGCAATGGGCAAAACTTAAACAACAGGCCCTCGCCCCTGTGTAACCTTTCCTCCCCTAGCAGATCTCTGTCAAGCAGTTTAGACCCAACCCCACCCACTCATATCACTCCTCATCAGAATTCAAACCCTCCCAACCTTTCCTCTCTTTGCATGTCACTAGTCATGTGGAAGACCTTCTTACATGGGGGATAAGGGGCCGGAGAATAGCCTCCTGAGACACTGGTACAAGCCCTCACACAACCACTTTCCTAAGCATTACTCCTGGAGATAACATGTAAGCCTCAATTGTGTTTTAGCTGCAGCCACAAAAGGCAGAAAAAACAGACAAGATACAGCTGGCCTCAGGAAAGGCTGTACTGACTAATGATCTCCTGCACTCACACCAACAATCAGTGGAGACCATGACCCTGAAAGGACACACCTGGAAAGGACACACTTGGAAAGGCCACATCTGGAAAGCTGATACTAGTCTATTAAGATTCTCCCCTGGCCGGCCAAGATGGAGGCGTAGGTGAAAACACTGTACCTCCTTGCACAACCAAATTTAAGGACAACAAAGATTTAGAAACAAAAATACAACCAAAACAGACAGAAAATTGAAGTGTACTGAAGCCCAACAACAACAAACCATTTATCCAAACCAGTAAGAGGGGCAGAGTCAGGGGACAGTGGAGAAGGGTTCTGCCAGGAGGAGGTGGTGATTGGCAAACAGGGCGGGCGTGGGGCAAAAACCCAGTAAGGCTTGCAAGGCGGCTGGCTGACCGCAGACACACATTCGTGCGCAGAAAACCAGGCAGGTTTAAAAACGGTCAGTGAGAATACCGTGCAACCCAGGGCCCCAGCGATGGAAAATAAAGCCTAAAACTTTCGGGGGTTGAGGTGCCAGAAGAGGCTCCCAGCCTCACAGGAGAGTTTGTTGGGGACACCCACAGGCTCCTAGAATGAACACAAGGCCACCCACATGGGAATCCACACCAGAAGGGCCCAATTTGCTGTGGGAAGCGGCAGAGGGGACTGAAATCCAAGAGCGAGCATAAAAAAACGCCATAGCTCCCTCTCTGATTCCACCCCCAGTCACAACCCAGTGCAGTGACTGGGCTGACCCGCCCTGCTGAACACCTAAGCTTTCACCCCTCACAAATAACAGGTGCGAACAGACCAAAACGTTATGGCTCAAGCAGAAGAACAAATCAAAGCCCCAGAGCCAATACTTCTAAGTGACCAAGAGATAGGTGACCTATCGGATGCACGGTTCAAAACACTGGTGATCAGGATGCTCACAGAACTGGCTGATTTCAGTCACAAATTAGATGAAAAAATGAAGGCTAAACTAAGTGAAATGAAGGGAAATGCACAGGAAACCAATAGTGATGGAAAGGAAACTGGGACTCAAATCAATGGAGTGAAACAGAAGGAAGGAAAAAATGACCAAACAGAAAAGAATGAAGAAACAAGAATTCAAAAAAATGAGGAGAGACTTAGGAACCTCCAGGACATCTTTAAATGTTCCAACATCTGAATTCTAGGGGTACCAGAAGGGGAAGAGGAAGAGCAATAAGTGGAAAACTTTTTGAACAAATAGTAAAGGAGAACTTCCCCAATCTGGCAAAGGAAATAGACTTCCAGGAAATCCAGGAAGCTCAGAGAGTCCCAAAGAAGTTGGACCCAAGGAGGAACACACGAAGGCACATCATAATTACATTAGCCAAGATTAAAATGAAGGAGAGAATTCTAGAAGCAGCAAGACATAAGGGGACAGTCACCTACAAAGGAGTTCCCATCAGACTGTCAGCTGACTTCTCAAAAGAGACCTTATAGGCAAGAAGGGGCTGGAAAGAAGTATTCCAAGTCATGAAATCCAAAGACCTACATCCAAGATTGCTCTATACAGCAAAGCTTTCATTTAGAATGGAAAGGCAGATAAAGTGCTTTCTCAGATAAGGTCAAGTTAAAGGAGTTCATCATCACCAAGCCCTCATGATATAAAATGTTAAAGAAACTTATCTAAGAAAAAGAAGATAAAAAATATGAACAGTGAAAGGACAGCAAACTCACAGTTATTAAGAACCACACCTAAAACAAAAGCAAACTAAGCAGACAGCTAGATCAGGAGCACAACCATAGAAATGGAGATCACATGGAGGGTTAGCAACAGGGGAGTGGGAGGAGGAGAAGGGGGGAGAAGGTACAGAGAACAAGTAGCATAGATGGTAGGTAGAAAATAGACAGGGGGGCAAGAATAATATGGGAAATGTAGAAGCTAAGAACTTGAGACACATGGACATGAACTAAAGGGAGGGAATGGGGGGAGGGGTATGCAGGGGGTAGGGGAATGAAGGGGGGAAATGGAACAACTGTAATGGTATAATCAATAAAATATATTAAAAAAAAAAGATCTGCCCCTGGGCCCTTCCCTAAAATCCTTGCCCTTAAGAGCCCCCAGGATGGAGGAACCAGCATGCTCTCCCCCCGGGAGCACACCCTCGCCTCTTCCCTCCTCATCTTCCCCCTAGGCACAGTATCTTTACCTTTCCCTCTCCCAAACTCCAAGGCCCATCTTTTGCCTCTGTAACTTGTTTCCTAAGCCCATTTATGCTACAGATCACTTCTGTATCTGTGACTTTCTAGATAAACTTTGTCCTATAGTTTGAGTCTTGGCTCTGAATTCATTTCCAGATGAAATTCAAGCACCAAGGTTGCAAAACCAAGGTCCAGTGTGACACCACCAGTCTAACACCTGGTGCTGTTCTTGCCACCACCAACACAGGTGTGACAAGCCCAATGTGTGATGTAGCAATCACAGTCAATGCAGTGGTAGCTCCATTAACAGAAATGAAGGACAGTCCAGATCAACTATTGGATGCCCCACAGGCACTTCATCCACCTAATATCTTTGAGCACCTTCTCATGTACGACCAACTTGAAGTCAACATAACCAAATTTAATTTAATTTAGTCTGGGTTTTTTTTTAAAAAACAGACTAAAAACTGCCCTGCCTGGTGTGACTTGGTGGATTGAGCACCAGACTATGAACCAAAAGTTCACTGGTGAGATTCCCAGTCACGGCACATGCCCAGACTGCAGGCCAGGTCCCCAGCTGCAGGTGTGCAAGAGGCAACAGACTGATGTTTCTCTGGCACATTGATATTTCTCTCCCTTTCTTTCTCCATCCCTTCCCCTCTTTCTCTGGAAATAAATAAAATCTAAAAAAAAAAAAAAAAGACTAAAAACTGGTTCAAGAGAAGTAGGAGCTACACTCAATCATCTATGTTTTCCTGTTAAGTAGTTTAGGAACTGATAAATACTTGGCATTTACAGTTTGGAGGTAAAATGAAAGAATGAACCAATAAATAAATAAATGTGAGAAGGGAAACGTAATGAGTTC